TCTAACATAATTTAATATCAAAGAAACTGAATAATTAAATGTCATTATGCAATAAGGCCATCCTATAAATATATTTTAATATGTGATATAAGAGGCTCTGCAAAATTTACTAAGATTACATCTATAATAATTAGTATATAAAGTGTCAAAAACATATGGTTTAATACATAAAAATTGAGATTTTTGGCCTGAGAGTTTTAAGATTAAGAAACGATCATTTAAAAAGACATATTTGTAAATTTTCAGTCCAAGCAAAGATATGTTCTGTGGATAAATACAAAGGTAAAATAAATCAATAGAACACAATGTTTAGCTGGACACAGTGGTGCACATCTGCATGCCTGAGGAAGGAGGATCACAAGTTCCAGGCCAGCTTCAGCAACTTAGCAAGGCCCCATCTCAAAGTAAAAAATAAAAATGTGCTGGGGATGTGGCTCAGTAGTTAAGTATGCCTGGATTTAATACCTGGTAGAAAAAAAAACTCAATATTTATAAAATGCAGTCTTCTTTTATGCCCTTACACATTTTTCTTTCCTCTCTTTGGAATACCCTTTCCCTTCTTCTTGCCTTTTGATTTCTCACTTGTCAACTCAACCTACACGAACCCTGCCATTAGGAGGTATATAGTGTAATCAAAGTAGGGAAAGTCATTATTTGAAGGGAAAATATATGAGTAAATAACAATGAGATCTGACCTAGTTTGAGGAGTCAGGGACTACTTCCCTGAAGAAGGCATACTAGACTACAGATCTGAAGGATTAGCATGAATTACTTAACTGGCATAAATGAGGTTGAAGAATATTTCAGGGGATGAGAACGGGATTCTTTCAAAACAAATAATGAAGGTAAGTAAACTCTCTTGGAGAACTAAGAGGAGCTGATGTAGTTGGGGAGGGGAGGAGAGTCTGCAGAGATAAGAAGGGCAAAACCCATGCAGAGTTTTAGGCTGTTACAAAAGTTTGATCTTGAAGGACTCCAAAGAAGTTTGTAAAGAGATGGGATGTAATGAGTGTGCAAAACCACAAGATTTGCATTTTTACATAAGTGATATATTCACATTGTTCAAAATCAAAACTACACATAATATCATTCAGTATACTCAAAAATGAAGTTCCTTCCTATTAGGTATACTTAGGGATTTGAGGAAAAAGGAAATAGAAGTGGATGATTTCAAGAGATAATGGGTTGCTAAATTCTGTAAACACTTTGTAACGGTTAATGATTAGGAAAGAGGTGTCAGAAAGCTCTCTAGTTTTTTCTAATCAAGGATAATTTCCAAACATCAATTTCACATTTTAAAATTTGAGGATAGGATATTAAGATCATAGAATGACTGACAATAATAATGGCATTTTATATCACATCCATCAACACACATATTTACATTTACATACACACATTATGTATAGATATAAAATGCCTCAAGAATATCTGTGATTTCTGAAATCACCAAAACAAACTTGAAAATTTTGTTTATTTATTTAGTCATCCAAAAAGAGAAATTATTTATAGAACATTCAAAATTCTTCCTAAACAATGGAACAGATTAGAACACACAGAGTCATAACCACAAAAATATAGTTATCTCATACTAGACAAAGGCACCAAAAACATACATTACAGAAAAGATAGCCTATTTGACAAATGGTGCTGGAAAAACTGGAAATCCATATGTACTATAATGAAACTGAATCCCTATTATACTGCACAGAACTCAACTCAAAATGGATCAAAGACCTAGGTATTAGACTAGAAACCTGCACTAAATAAAAGAAAATGTAGGCCCAACTTCCTACTATGTTGGTTTAGGAACCAAATTCCTCAATAAGACTTCTAAAGCATAAGAAGTAAAATAAAAAAAATCAATAAATAGAGTGAAATCAAACTAAAAAGCTTCTTCACAGCAAAGGAAATAATCAAGAGTGTGAACAGAGAGCCTACAGAATGAGAGAAAAATCTTTGCCAACTGCACTTCAGATAAAGCATTAATTTCCAGGATATACAAAGAACTAAAAAAGCTTAACACCATAGATAATCAATAAAAGGTCAAAGGAACTAAATTGACACTTTTCAAAAGAAGAAATACAAATGGTCAACAAATTTTTAAAGAATGTTCAACATTCCTAGCAATTAGAGAAATGCAAATTAAAATAACACTGAGTTTTCACCTCACTCCACTCAGAATGACAGTTATCAAGAATACAAGTAACAATAAATATTGGCAAGAATGTGGTGAAAAAGGTACACTCATTCATTGCTTGTGGTACTGCAAATTGGTACAACTACTGTGGAAAGTGGTGTGGAGATTCCTCAAATAACTAGAAAGGAAAACACCAAGTCATGCCACTCTGCAGTATATGGAGTTAAAATCAATACACAGTGATGTAGCCACATAAATATTTATAGCAGCATAATTCACAATAGCTAAGCTATGGAACCAACTTAGGAATCCTTCAACAAATTGGTAGATAAAGAAAACATGGTTTATAGACAATGGAATATTACTCAGCCATAAGAAAGAATTAATTTATAACATTTTCCAGTAAATGGATGGATCTGAAGACTATCATACTAAGTGAAATAAACTAATCCCCAAAACCAAAGGTAGAATGTTCTCTCTGATATGTGGAAGCTAACCCAGAAGAAGGAGGGGAGAACAGAAGTTCAGTGAATTAGACAAAAGGGATGAAGGAAAGAGAGGGGATGGGAATTGGAAAGACAGTGAAATGAATCTGACATAACTTCTCTTAGGTACCTATATTAATATACAACAGGGTATCTCAACATTGTGTATATCCACAAGACTGGGATCCTAATGAGAATAAGATATATTCCATGTTTGTCTAATCATGTCAAAATAGACACTACTCTCATGTATAACTGAAAAGAACAATTTTTTTAAAAAAAAAAATCTTCCTAGAATGGAATTGTACATCATTTGTACATTGTAAAACACCATAAAGCATTATTCATATACACCACATAGTATAGAACAGTCTCTGGCTGTTGTAGTACATAGATCACTTGCACTTGGCCCCTGAAGCCTTTGTTCCTACTAGGCTAGTAGGGTGGGGAGCTAAATGCAGGAATTATAAGAGAGTCTGCTTCATGAAGATTTCTATAGTGCAACCTCTGCAGCTCACCTCCCTATCTCCTCTGTCTCTCTGGCCTGATTCAATTATTAGTACTATGAGGGGAGAAAGAAGAAATGTGTTAAATGCTTCCACTAAGAAACATACTGTCAGAAATACTAGTCCCTCAAGATATTTCATAAGTACCAGCAGAATGCTTAATCCATCAATAATCAAAATTTATCCTCTAAAAATGCAGAGGCCTCTTATAGCCTCTGCCAAGCAGATATGAAGATAAAGCTCAGTGTGGTTTGATCTTAAGGCACCATATATTCTCTAAAATAATGTAATCAATCAAGTATCCCATGCTGCTTTAAAAGACTAAGAAACAAAATTTTACACTTAACCAGTAAGACATATTTATAATATGTTAGACTACAATATAGTCAAGAGATTAAATTTAACTCCTGCTTCTGATTCTACAATTACATATGACCTCATTGTGAACCAGTAAAACTGCTCAAAACAAAAAGTTAAGAGAATGTTAATCAGAACTTTGTTTGAAATCCAGTTCTGAACAAACTATGATTCATTTCCCTAACCAACATATAAATATTTCAAAAACATAATTTTGAATTAACAAAACTTTTAGGTGTCCATGGTATGTAGGTACAAATTAAGTGTGGCGAGTTACAACTTACACAGAAAAACAACCATAGAATTAATTGTAGATAATATTGTAAAGAATACAAAATAAGAAATTAAAGTATATGCAATGTGTTTCTAAATGGAATGAATTAACCAAAGTCATTATGACTTCCAGATAATGTCCCTAGTTTATTTCCTGGATGTCTACCCATCTACAGGCTGGCCTGAGCAAACTTACAAGTTTGATACACATAATACATACAGCGAACTTAGGAAATAAAAATGCACCTGAAGCTACCAGATGGAACTGAGGGACTGCTCAGCATTTGGTTTTCTTCTTAGTTAATAAACATGAACTCCCATTACACACATCATGGTGAAAACAAGTTCAAGTTCATTAGGACAAATAATATTTAAAGGAAAAAAATGTTTGTTTTTCCCTCTAAGATTCCCCCAATGTCTTCACTTTGACATAAAGTACTATCCTGTTCCAAAAAGCCATTGATACTTATCCAAGTTTGAAAGGGCAACTTACCACACTGCAGGCAAAATGAAAGCATTTTCAAATGAACAGGGAAGCATGCATGATCAAGTTTCAATTTAAAAGAAAAATTAAGACAGAAAAAAATCTCCAAGTGCAAATTGCTTCGATATGACCTTTTATATGTATTGGCTTTATCTCCAAACAGTTATTTTCATGGGGCATTGCTTATTATGCATTTAAAATTGATCTGTAAATTTTAAAAAGCAAGCATGTAATAGCAACCATATGTAAACAACATACTAACCCAAGTCCTGTCCGTTTACAAATGTTTCACTGTGAAATTCATATGCCTGAACTTATTTTTGAAGACATTTTAAAAGGCAGTTTAAAGCATACCAAAACAAGCCTCCTGTAAGATTTTGCGTTAGACTTTCATACAGCAAGTATAGAAAGAAAACAGCAACATTGGACCATAATCATACAATGAAAGTTACTAATCTCTTGGCTTGTGTTGTTCAAAAGTAAAACTTCTGAAAGCAAAGCGAATATGAAATATTGCACAGCCAGTCAGACACTCTCTGAGTATTAATTATGTATATCCAATAAAATATTACATTAAATCTTTCATCGTTGCCAGGAATTTTAAAATTCAGAGAAGAGAGAAATCAAACTTGAAGAGTAAGAATCTCCATAAATTAGCAAAGTAAAAGGTCACTTGCTCATAATCTTTGGAGGAAATACATATACATGATCCAACTGAAGCAGAAAGCCCCTGTAGATCCACAGGCAACTCTTACCTTGACAGGTGCCATTTTTCTCTTCATATCCTTCCTTGCACATGCACTTCCCAATGGGCACCAGCCACTCCCCTTCAGCACTGCAGTGCATTTTGGGAGGTTCATCTGTCACAGAATGGTTGACGCAGGAGCCTGACACCTCAAGCAACTGTGAAGAATCTGCTCCAGTGATAGTGTCAGGGAAGACAGCCAAGTGCCTTATCACAGAGGGGCATTTTTTATAGTATACACGCACAGAAACCAGAGCAATGCAAGCACCAACATCTTGGAAAGCAAGATAAAATCCCTTTTTGCTTAGAGGTCCTACATCTCTGACCTCTGTATTCAGTTTCATGACACGGTCACCAAGATCAAGTTCCGTAAAGCTCTCATCAGCAGCAATGGTATCGATTTTGATGTACTGGTTTTCCTTGATGTTTCTTCCATTCTCATCATCTGACTCAAAATAATACATGTTAAAAGTTTCCTTACAGGTTCCCAGTCCTCCAGGAAGGCTGTTACAGTCTCGCAGAGTGAACTTGAGTTCTATGAAGATTCTGGAAGCACCTTCATTGGATATCCAACTGGTCAAAAGCCAGTTATTCTGATTCTGTTCCATAACTTTGCATACTTGGTATGTGTGGATAGGGGCATAATTTTCATCAACTTCACCAATCTCTTCCCACTGTACAATATAAAAAAGAGATAAAGAAATTTTTGAAATAGAAAACAAACAGGAAAAATAGAAAAAAAAATCATGAAAGAAAATCCATTCATGTATAGAAATCTCCATAAACTCCATATACAGTATTGAGAGAAAGAGCCCTACAAATTTGGGAGAAGAAATTAACAAGAAATTTTATTCTTTTTTTTTTTTGGTGCTGGGGATTGAACTTAAGAGTGTCACCATGCAACTTTGCACTCCACCACTGAGCAACACCCTTAGCCCCTCCTTTTTTAAATTAAAGAAATTACAAGCTCTTTGGATTTACTCAAAGATGAACAAATATGAATGATATGTTCTAATATCTTTTGGGGAGGAGGCATGTACTTCAGAGTAAAAGTAAAATAAAATGAATGTAGTTAAGATAAATAAGAAGCAAAGCGGAGAAAGTATGTATTTTTGGAAGAACGGTAGTATATAAACAAATAGGATCGATGCTATGGTTTGGATAATATTTCCAAAAGATCCACATGCTAAAGGTTTTGTCCTCCTCCCATGAAGCTATTGAGAGGTGGTAGAATCTTTAAAAGGTGTGCCATAGTAGGAAGTCTGTAAGTCATTGGGGACATGTCCGCAAAGGGATGTTAGGTCCTTATTCCCTTCCTGCTCCTCCAGTTTGTTATCTGTCCATGAGGTAAGCAGTATTGCTCTGTTACAAACTCCTGCTATAATCAGCTGCCTCATCATAGGTCAAAAAACAATGGGTCAACTGATCATAGACTGGAACCTTGAAAACTATGAGCCAAAATATACCCTTTATCTTTATAATTTGATTAAATAAACGTTTGTCATAGTAGCAGAAAGGTAACACATAAGATAAAGTATGAGAGGGGGAAAATGTCTAAATTTGTAAAATAAAATGAGAAAAGAACAGCAAATGTGAAAAAGAACGTGAAAAATGTAACGTGAAAAGTCACTTATTTAATTCTGTCACATGACAAATAGTACATTGATGTAATATAATTTGAAAAAAATACATCAGTTTAAAATTAATACTAGATCTTTATTTCATTGAACCTAGCAACTCAGAACTTTTTCACTAATTGGATAGCTAAATATGTATTCATGAATTTATCTACAAATATAGACACAGATAAAAAATAGAAATTACAGGATTATAATATGCACAGCCTTGTAATTTTGAAAATTAACTGACTTGTTATATCCTGTGAATGGATTAATTCCCTCTGATCAATGCATTACTTTATGAATAGTTACTTTAAGATTCTAAAAACGTACAGGATGTAAAAATAATTGAGTATGATTTATATAGCTTTCAAAATATGATCAGTTCAAAGAATAGGTATACACCTTTTTTTCCTGATAAAGTACCCCAGTTTTGAGAATCTCAATGTACAATGAGCACTTCCAGAACAGTATTAGCACCAAAGTTTTATTCCTGATAAAGATATCATGATAGCCCAAAACTTTTCTTTAAGCCTTATAGAATGTATATTCACAAAACTATATTTGGTTTTATTTTAAATCATTAAAAAGTCACTGAAACAGAGAGAAAAGAACCCACACTAACTTCCAATAAGTTAAGAATGTGTGACTATTTTAGATAAATTTTATGAGACATTTTTTAGACTTCATATTAAGTGTAGCATTATTTCTTCATTCTGTCCAACTGGCAAAGATGGGCAAAATGTGAAAGCACAAACGGTGCAAATAAATTTCATACCTCAGATGGCCCTTCTTAAAATTCTAGCTGTCATCAGGCAGACATAAGTAAAAGGTGCTAACGAGATAAAACTGCTGAGTTCCTTAAATTCACATGAGAGACATCAAGATTTTATCTTGCCTAACAAGTTTCACATTCTGCTGTTATGAGAAGCATTGGTTCTTTCATTTAATCTTATTTTTGTCTTCTCTCAAAATGTATATAAACTCTACTTAGCCTCTGGTTTTCTAAACCAACCTTCTGTCTTACCACTATATCATTAAACTATTCACAAATGATTGAAGTATACATCTCTACATTAGAAATCGTTCCTGTATGTAACAATTAATATTTCATGCAAATCAGCACCTCAACTAACCAAATGAAAACTGAAAATTATCCATCTACCATGACAAATTATATACATGGTCTTTAGTTTAACAAAAGGAAAATAGCATTAAAGCTCTTCTCTTTAAGAAATAAAAACAAAATGTTACACTATTACTTTTTAAATATTTATTTTATGTTATGATAGTCGTCCAAAACAAAATACAAATGGATTTTAAATTGTTCACCTTAAATCACTTCAGAAGACCTATTTCAGCATCATATATTCCAGTAAGATCATTGTAGCAAATAAAAGCAAGCAAAAAAGCAGCAGATTCCAAGACTACAAGCCAAGCAATTCAGTCTTTGTGTGTAGGAAGTCCATGGTAGCACAAATATTATTAAACATGCAAGCCAAGCAGCACTTGACAAGACAGCTTAATAGTTACTGCTTCAGGTGATAATTTCAAAGTATGTGCATAAGCATTTTGTTCCTCTGAATATTCTCAATTAAGGAGAGAAAAACTGTAATTTTCTTCAAATTTAAAATCTGTTGTGGTAATATTTTATTTATTTTTTCTTCTCAAGCATCCAAAATACAAATGAAGGCTCACACTTTATATTTCTCCTTGACAAACAGGAAGACTTTAATTTAAATAATTGTGGCAATAAGCTATTCAAAAAATCAAACAGGTAAAAAATACATTTTCTAAATATGCCCTCCTTTAAACAAATACATTAAGAAATGGACAAAATTATTTCAGTTATTACAGATTATCTGAATAAAAATTTGGAATTCCTCTGTAGTTTCTTCCCTTTTTATATTAAGAGGTCATCTTACTCTCCTCAGCAAAAAATCAGCCATGAGAAAGAAAGGTTTGGGGGGTGGGGCAGTGGAGAGAAAATAACACTCACTAAGTAATATGAATATAGTAGGCCAATTTCTAGATACTTTAAAATGTCGTGACAAGGAGGTTACAGAATTTAATGAAGGGCACAGATAGAAAACAATGTTTTTCTGTTCAATTTTGTTGCCTTTACAAATATTCCATGGTGTAATAAAATATTTGCTAATCCCTTGGTTACTGATGAATGTGGGTACTAGGGAAGCACAAATCACTGAATACAATAAGGAGCAATAGCTCTGCTCTATAGCTGTGGCAGCTCTCATCCTTTGAGCCCATGCTTCTCATATTTTTCCTCCTTATTTCCTATATTCTGCATTTTTTTCTCCTTATTTCCTGTATTCTACCTTAAAATTTGGAAAACTGACTACATAGTCAGCTTGGGTTGGCTTGACTTTTCTTCAAGCCAGTTGCATTCCAAACACATGCCTGATCAGGCTACCTCATTCATCAGGAAAGTGGGGAAGGGACTTATTTTCATATGTGTATCATGGAATTACCATCTTCCTACCCAAACCATTAAGAAGTAATTGCTCCCTATCACTGACCTTTTAGATTTCTTGCCTAAAAAGAAACCTCAATTTCTTGATTCACTTCATTAATTGTTACCACACACTGTTAAAACTAAATATCCATTTTTTCAGTCATCATGTAACCATAAAAATCTTTCTGCCTTTCTTTATATATCTTAACACTCAGAAACCTATATGCAAGTGGACATGCATGATGGTCTTATTATAAACTGCAGTTCAGGATCTGACACTACAGAACACAGAGGAGGGTGCTCAAGAGATATTTTGTATTGAATGAACTCATGACAAACATGCATGCATTCCCCTTAGTCCAGAAATCCAGTTCATTTTAAATTTCAAATAATTCAAACATGCCAAATAAACAATTATATGACTGACATTCTATTAAAAAGAACAGACGTTCTCTCTGTACCTTTTCTAAACTTTATCAATTCAAATTAGAAAGTTTATGAATTCAGATTTTTTGGAAGTTCTTTTTCAGCAAATTTTTTTATTAAAAGTCTCTAAGCATTTATTTAAATATATTTTCTCAAACCAATTATTCATATAATTATTATGAGTTTAGTTTGGCATATTAGCCTGTATAACTATTTTCATTATCATTACATCTTACCAATTATAATTTATAGCTTAATTTAGATATTGTATTCTTGAAAATGTTTTCAGAGTACACATTTTTATTTTGTCACTGATTAGCCTTCTACACTATTCTGTACAAATTAAAATCTCAGAAGATAGTACATCATAGAGTAGCACTGTACCTAAACTCTTGTTTGAGTCAAATCCTCAAATGATATTAAGACAATCTTAGTGGGTTTTGAGGGTTTTTTTGTTTTGTTTTGTTTTGTTTTTGGCAGAGTGATGTGAAAATTGGGCAAAGAATCATTGTCTTCAGCATTTCTCTGACATGACAAAAACACAACTTTCTAGGAAGACCTTGTTTATTGCTTAAAGGCTTCTTTTTTCATTATCCTTTAATATCACAATATTTTATATAATGTCTTTTAAAACACTCTAAAACAAAATAAGTGATATGCCTCAAATTTTATTCAAAATGTTTTAGATATAATTTATTATATTCAGTGTATGTATCCATGTTGTATTACAGTATGTTTCACTAACTTCATAGAAGATATCCCTATCTTAAGCTACTAGAACACTGATGTTTGAAAAAGAGCAATACTGCTTTCATGATCTTAGAAAATTCCCAAGAACAGTTTGATATGCATTAAAATTTTGAAGTCTGGCATTTCACCCATTTTAACCAAGAACAAAACACTCTAATTCCTATCTCAAAATATATTTACCTAAATGTAGACTTTATGGAAGTTTTCTGCTACTGCATAAATAAAATGAAATTTTATATATACAATTAAAACTTCAAAGAGTGAGAGTATTTTCTTTTTATTCTTGTATAGTTAACTGTACTACTTTAAATTTCAATACAGATTTTCAGCTTTATTTTTTCCTATTTTTTATTTTGCTAAATTCCTTAAAATTGATAAAAATGTGTTTATTTAGACCTGAACACAT